AAAGCGAACGTCACTGTACATTGAAATCCCACTTAGAAGACAGGCTAAGGGACAAAAAATCAACTACATGACCATCACACCAGGAAGGACCCTTCTATTTCTTCATTAACTTTAACAAAGCTACCTGATTATTTTACAAATAAAAATCACCCTAGGTGGCTTAGGCCTGGCTCTTTTAATAAGTTCAAGTGCTCTATTTTAGCTAGCAGAGTTCTAAAAATCTCCACTTAAATCACATATGAAAGGGAAAGCGGATTCTAGGGAGCAGACTCAGAAAATGTCTTTTGCTGACCTGTTCAGGCTTTGGTACAGAGAGGAAAGTGGGTGCATGGCAACAGCTCTCTACTGAATGACTCTGAGGACAAATGGATGGTCCAGTTTACCACCTGAGCCTTGGCCCACGCTAAGTTTTAAACTCCAAGCCATGCCTGTGATACTGATAAAGGTACCTATGACAAAAGACAACCGGGTGAAGGTTATGCTGCCACAGACCATTCCAGACTACCTAGAAAATGATTCTCAACCTTGGCTGCCCATTAAAATCACCTGAGGAGCTTTTAAAGCCCCCCCCAGACGTAAAAGCCCCAGGTGATTCTAATGTGCAGCCAAAATTGAGAACTACTTGTCGAGGTCAACTAGCTCTGTAGTATTTTAACAGAAAGCATTCAAGTCACTGTTCACCCAAGCCAGACAGAAGATAAGACTCTATGCTTCCTCCCAGATTCATAGATTGATTCAACATGCCTCCAAGAAATGACCTAGGCATCTCTCACTTTTTTTGTTTTGCATTTCAATAAATCACTTTGGCTGTAAAACAGACTGCATGGCTGACAGTGTATTATTGACTTAGGTAAGACTGCACCTTAAGTGTGTGTTTGTAGCAAAACAGCTGGGGACAGGTCTAGGCCAAGACTCTGGGCACAAATAAAAGATAAGCCAGAAGGAAGAATTTTCCTAAGCAGGAGTTAATTCCTGAGTCTAGGTTTTTAGTAGCATGGCTTATAGGCTGACAATTATTCTATAGTTAGAAAAAAGATAGTTGGGGTGACTAGAGTCACATGATTTTAGTATCTCATCTCCTTACAGAATTCATACTGTTACACAGATGAAGGTTACTATTAGACGACTAATACATCAGTCGTCACCAATGAGTACTGCTTATTGAATTTGGAATTTCACACTGTCAGTACTGTCACTTGCCCTATCCAGTCAACAGGAAAGTAAACACTTATCAGTTAGTACCTAAAACATGGATGTGAAACTCTCAAAAGTCTGCAAATGGATCACTCTTCTCGTTTTCACTAACCAGCGCGAGTCCCTGTTTGGACATCACAACCAGCCATTCTAACCAGTGCCTTTGGATGAAAAGGTGGAAAGCATTCTGGGATATTTCTGCAAGGCCCAAAAGTCCTTTCTCAACTGTAACAAATGTTCAAAAGCTAGTAACCTGATTTGGCTCAGTGGACTAGTGTGCCCCCAAGAGCAAATCCGCTGAATGCTCCAACTGCATTTAAAGATTAGGTGGTCTGCCTAGTGGCATTTACTACCGAAACTGAATTTCCTGACACCCACAATAGGCCATCCTAACTATTATAACATTCTTGGCATTATAAAGAGAAGAATTTCAGAGTGTCTAAAAGCAAAATAGGTCATCCAAAAATCCAGGTCATGCAAAACTGCATGTCAAGATACTGGCAGAAGGCTCAACATCAGGAAAATATGGTTGATAGTCCAGTCCCCAAAATGGGCTGCAAATGGCAATTAAAAAATAAAAAAAAGCTCAGGATTCAAACAAAATTTTCACATCATTAAAAGGAATTGAGTGCATCTTTAAAAACAGCAGAAAAACTCCACTTCCAAGGGCTACTCTTGCCAGAGGCCAGTGGATAAAAGCACTAAACCCAAGTGTTCTGACACTGATTTGGGCACCAAAACCAAACATTTACAAGTGAAGATGACATTGAGAAGTGAGATACTGCGGCCTTTCTATTTCGGGTCTGGCTTTCCTGTGCTTGCTACAGAAAGCTACACTGTCTGCAGCCAAGTGCTCAGAGGTAGAGGAGCTAAAGCGAGTACAAAAGAGAATGAGGTGGACAGTGGCTGAGGAATCCAGCCTCCTGCGTAAGGGGCTACAGGGCAAACTTGGAATATTGTCTTTAATGGGAGGTAGAATTTTCTACACTAACTTATCTGCCTTCATCAGACATCTTTTTCTCATACACATGCATAAAATCACATACATATAGCGGGCAATTCATAATGATATTGCAACTTGCAGTGACTGCACACCTATTCCAACAGATACTTTCAACCTAAATTTAGTATTAACCCCCAGCTTTTCTCTGGTAGATTCAAGCCAAATTTGTTCTTTTGAGAGCCCTCCTTTTGCCGGGCTTCTAAACATATATTTCACTTTAACGCCTACATCTTTCGTCGCTAAAGAACAGCTGCACTAAGTGGGTGCAAAGTGTTATAACATCTTTATAAATACAAAGTGCGAAAAATAATTTTCTTAGCCAAAATACAAACAAAGCAACTAAAAGCTCTCATAGCCTACTATGCCAAGAAATTGATTTTTATAATCAATGATACAGCTAACAAAATGCTTCTAAAGCTACCAAGGTTATAGTGGATGAGTAAATATATTTATAAACATACATTTATGAAAAAAAGATATTAAGAAAATAGCCAAACTTCCCACAAAAGTTATTTGCATGAACTATCTTTAGTATACCACTCTGTGTTCAATGCACATGCATATACAATTGAATTATATTAGTGTTATTTTTATTGGCCCACTTTTCCAAAAAGAAAACAGGCTCACTTTTCAAGTTGCATGATTTAAAATAATTTTTGTAAAAATAGCAAATACCATATACGCTTTCCGTATCTTTGCTATCTGACTGACAGCCACTCTCGAAGTGGACTTCAGCCGCACTCTTAGTGGCCCCTGCTTTATCATCTTGGCTTCCAGAGGAAACACATTTTAACCTTTGTTCCCTGTGTTGTAATTCTGTTTCTGCAATGGCTCTTTAAGAACCACTAGTTAGGATTCTGTTAATTTACAGGAAACTCAGTAGATCATCTTCAAATATGTCCAAAACATCTGCTTTAAGATGTGCTAAATGCAGAAATCTAAACCATAGGAATTTCTCAGGTAGTTGTTATTAGCTTTAATGGTTTAGACTTATGATGCTGAAAAGAAAAAATAAGTATTTTGTTAATCTGCAGGTTCCCTTTCTTCTTTGTCCTCTTTTTCAACTTGAGACCATAGTACAGTGGACCCTTGACCAACATAGGTTTGAACTGCACGAGTCCACTTATACCCAGGTTTTTTTCAATAGTAAATGCTACATTACTACACCTCCAGCAGTTGGTTGAATCCCCAGATACAGAGGAACCTCAGAAACAGAGGCCCAATTATTAAGATATAGGCAGATTTTCCACTTGCAGAGGGTTGCACCCTAACTCCCACATTGTTCAAGAGTCAACTGTACTTAGTTTTCGTGCAACCACCAGATGATTTCAAATTTAAGAGTCAGAGAATCTAGAGGAGGGCCCATCGAGAGGCATCTTCATAGATTATCAAAGATTTTTCAAGTAACCAGTATTTTTGCTATGAGTTTCTTTGCTGCAAACATTTTTGCACCATGACTAATTGGCCATAAGATAATTTTGTCACAAAAGATAAAATAACTGGATGACAGTTTTTGCTTTGATAGTTTGGTCTTGACAGGCATGTCTCCCAGTTAGTGACATTACCGATGGTTTTAATGAACTGACAGATAATGATGACTGGCCCCATGATGTGGTTTCTTATTTTGAAACAAACTACACTGGAGGATAAATAGGCCAAAAGTCTCAAAGGTGCAGAGCTGAACCCACATTTCCTATACAACTATGGAAAGTATGAACAAACAATAACAAACAATAGTGCAGAGGCTTTCACGATGTGATACAAAGAATGGTTACGAACATGCATCCTGGTTATTTGGAAACTGACACCTCTCTCAATGAAGGAAGAAGTTTAAGAAAAAAGAAAATGCACAGTGCTGATGAGATAATCAAAATACTCAATACTAAGAATGAAAGACCTGGAAGACAACTGCTTAGGTACAACACACAAAATATGAAAATCAGTTATTTGTGCAGAATTGCCATGAACTACACACATTTTAGATGTATTCAAATATTTTGTAATTTGCTTTCAGGTTTTTAAAAAAAACTGTCATTCATTTATCATGTTTCATTATGTCCTCTTTAATATCCCTCTTTTATTTTTTACTATTTTACTTGTACGGGAAAATTGCCTTGCAGTGAATTAGTAATTAAGGTGAAAAATGCCTGCAGCAGAGATGTCTATGGCAAAGATGCTTAGAGCAAAAGTACCTAGAATCAACTTTTTATTCCCTTGGAATATATTTTCAAAGGTTTTCTCTGTCACAATGGGCAGACTTTGAGGTACAGCAGAGTGGAAAATGTTAAGGCTCACTGATTTTTATTCATCAAAATTTGCCCCAATCATTGTATGATAAAATCTAATTAATACGGCTGCCTAAATGACTCAACATTCCATACCTGGTTATTCAACCACAAATGCCAAAGTCCTTTCTTCCTGTCCCAAAATCTTCTAGAGTCCTAAATTAATTTAAAGTTTTCAGCCCTGAGTACCCCTTTTATTTCCTGTATTTGTAATTCCTGAGGCCTGACCGAGAACAGAGATCCCTTCAACATATGATCTAATTGGGATAGACCAACAAGAAGCCCTCACAACTAATTCTCTAAGAAACCACTGCAGATGGAATGGATAGATAACACCAAACCTTTCTTCTCTTAGAAAGATGATTTGGGGATGATCATTTTTCTAACAGAATTTATTCTTTGACCTTATTTCTTCTGAAAGCAATAAAAGTCCTTTTATAAGCCAGCAGGAGGTAAAGCATCCTAAACTTGACAAATCTAACCCCAACTCATAACACTTAAATGATCTGTCATTTCAGTCAACAGAAACCAGTAGCAACTGATAATTTTAAAGGATTAACAACTATCAAATGGAGCAACAGAGTTTCCAAAATGGAAGGTAATATAAATGGAATGAACCTCTTCTCCAGCACAAATTTGTGCCAGAGGTGGCAGTAAAGATAGGTAGGGGGCTTCCCCCGTGGCTCAGTGGTAAAGAATCTGCCTGCCAGTGCAGGAGACACAGATGAGGGTTCGATCCCTGGGTCGTGAAGATCCCCTGGAGGAGGAAATGGCAACCCACTCCAGTTATTCTGGCCTGGAGAATCCCTATGGACAGAGGAGCCTGGTGGGCTACAGTCCAAAGGGTTGTTTTGAAGAGTTGGACATAACTGAGAGACTGAGCACAGAACAAAGATGTAGTATATGTAGGCAAAATTTTTAATTATGTCAAAAATATAATCCATCTAGCCACTTAATAGAAACTCCTGTTGAAACAGATTTAGCAGCCATATGAATTTTCCACACCACAGGAGTTTTTGCCTATTTGAAAATGAACTACAGCTGACATCTCTAATAAACCAAGGTCTGTAACAGCAAGGTTTTTACTCCCTCTGTAGATTATTTCTGGTTTAGAATTGACAGTTACTGTTGCTTCACAGAAAAAAAAAAAAAAAAGGGCAAATGCAACAATTTGGAATGTGCGCAAAAGAAAACATGGAAATTTTGCTTTAAGTGAAACTTGGGGGTGGGAAGCTAATGAAATCTGTTCCAGGTATTTGTTTCATTCTCCTTCTAGCTTCTTCTAACCCATGGCTAGTAGAAGAAATGGTTTCTTATGGCACAAACAACTGATGTAAATGAACACACAAGTTAAGACAAATCCAAAACACCTACTGCTGCCTGTAACAGATTAAAGATGGTCTCAAATCCTTGACACATCTTCCATCAAGTGGTAAGGTATCTCCTCTCCCTTCGAATCTGGGCTGACCAGTGACTTCTTTGACCAAGTGTGTGGTGATGACTCTTATGAAAGCTCTGGGCCTGGCCTTGAAGAGGACTTGGGAGGCCTGAGCTGCCATCTCCTAAATTTGACTACTCTGATGGAAAGATCAGATGGAGGGTCCCAAGGCTCGAGAGATGGGGAGGAGGCCTGCTGGGCCTAGTTTTCCAGTCCTCTCTACCAAGGTGTCAGGACGGTGAGCTCACCTTGGACACCCTGACCAGTCCAACCACCTGCTGAATACTATCAGATGACCTGAATCATCACCACAGGGAACATGAAACTGCCTAGACAAGCCTTTCCCGAATTTCTGATTCACAACATTATGAAATATATAAAGCAGTTGCTGTTTTAGGTCACTGAGATTTAGAGAATTCATTACATAGCGACAGGGAACTGGAATGCTATCTTTCAATTTCTGCCTTGGTAGTAGTAACTCAAGCAGTTGTTCACAATTAGAACCACCAAATGGGGGACTCCTCTAAATTGGTGGGCAATATTCCCAGAAAACATTCACCATTCAACATCTGCTCAAAGTCAACTGCATTATCTCTTGGAGAAACCTTCCGATCACTTATTCCTGAATTAAAAGTTCCCTAAAAGCAGTGCTGTTACTGGCTATAGTATATTCTAGTTCACTACAACTCTGTTAAGTAAACAGTTAACATGATGTACTGGAGATAGTCTGGGCTTTGGAACCAGATTGGTAAATACTGGCTCTGCAATTTATCGATTGTGTAATCTTAGGCTCAACAGTTTCCTCATCTATAAAATATGGTATAATTATACCTGTTAAAGGCCAACACAGTCCAGTAAGAGTGTCAAGTCTAGTGAAAGACTGTCTAGGTCAACCTCTCTGGGTCTCAGTTTCTTTTCTTTTTTTTTCAGTTTCTTTTTAAAGTGAGGATAGTAACAGCATCTACTCTAATGTGTTTATCATAAGGAGTAGCAGAATTAATTAATGTGAGGCACATAAAACTGTGTTTAACACATAGTTAACATTCAAAGTCAGTAATTTTTAGCTACTTCTGTTACTACCTCAGAGAATTATTTTGAGAATTAACTGCAGTTATGTCTCTAAAGCACTTAGTGTGGTTAATTCCGTCCCCTTCTTTTTGACCCTCAGGGCTTTTAAACATGTATACCAGCCTCTAACCAAGTGTGTTTATACTCTCAAGTACAGGAAGCCACATCTAAACTATGTATAAAATCAGTTTTGCTATACAAATTCCAAGCACACTGTCTGGTACCAAAAAGCAGTTAATGGAACGAAAATGTACTTAATAGAACCGATTCTCCTCTTGCTATCTGCCATATAAGTGATTTCACAGGATAGGAAACATTTCCCCATGAGATACATACTTTGACTTCCGGCACTATGGATTAATTCAGATTCTAAGATTCACAGTATATTAAATTGTGCTGTTGGTCATATGAGATGCTGAACAAATATCTTAAGTGGGTGGTGAATTCTAGTTTCCTTAACAGGACTTACTGAGTCAACATAAAAAAGCAAGCATTAGAAAAGTGGTTTTCCCTCCCTTAACTGCTTAACTAAGCTTTGTGTTTAAAGCTTCCACGATTTGAGCTAATGGACCTTTCTTAATTACGTTACCATGAGAGGTATTTATTATACAGATAACGGGGAAGATGTAAGATAAGAAATTTATATGTGTACCCTCTGGGAACATAATGCATATTTCAGGCAATGCTTGCCTTCTAAGTCACTGCTGTTTTTCACAATTGAGGGAAAAGATAGTCTGCCTACACAAAACCAGATAGTCTGTACAGATATCTTGCAGGTTTTGATTTCACTGTTCCTATCAACAATTACATCTTTTGGAATGTAATCAAGTCAGGTTTGAAAGTATGAAACTATCCAACTCTGGTTTGTCCTGAGCAAGAAAAGTTACTTAATGCAAAGTAAAAAGACTGGTCCTAGGAAAAGCACCACTTAATAATAAGAAGAGTGAAAAACAGAAAAGACACTAGAAAGCAAAGGAGGTGAAACCACATTAAGACTAATAGTTATCAAAGAAGTCATAATGCTTGGCAAACTCCATTATTTTCAACAGATTCTTATTTAAATGACATCTGTTACCAAGACCTCAAATGGAGGTATATGCAAATGATTCACTGGAATACCTAAATACAATTTCTTTCCCAAGTCCTATATGCTAGATTAACTGGAATCCCAAATTAACCAGGAAAACAGCATTCTAAAATCGCAAGAACTCATTATTAATACAAGTTCTCCAAGACAAAGCAGATCTGACCTACGCAAATATTCTGGAACCTTCTAGATGAAGGTTATCTATTACTCGGAGGGTATAACATATAAAACCTAATTCCCGACTTAGAAAAAGGCAACCTTAAGAATAAAATGTATAGTGAAGAGGTGCTGTATATGCATGCGGTCAGGTCACTCATCCAAACTTTACATGTTGGTAGAAATCACAACAAAGTAAGACTCAAACTCACTGTACTGTATGAGCCTGGCCTAGAACACTTTGCCCAGATAAATTTAACTCAGAAGCCCATGTATTGTTTACAGATGGGGAGCCATTATACTTTCCTCTTCCAAGGAATTACGTTTATTATCATTCTAACATTTTCCATTTACTTTTCCACATCTGGCATAAATAAACTAATTGAACAGTAAGAATGAACATTCACAAAGCAAATATATAATGTCCCAATATATACTGAGAAGAATTACAAACAATAACAGAAATTGGGAGATAGTTCTAAAAAGAAATTTAAATCTTCAGATGTTTTAAGTTTTAAAATATTCTTTTCTTTTTTTTAAAAAAAGGAAGATTTTGGCTTTTTACTACTCCATATAGAACAGAGTGAGTTTACTTGAGTAAATTAAAATGAAGATTTATAGTAAAGAAATGGGTAGTTTCTAATCTAGAAAAACAGTACTTTGGATAGGAATCAAACCCTATTCTTAAGAGAAATTAATTTTAATACTAGTGGGAATAAATCCATTCTTGCCATCATCATGTTAACTTAGAGAAATGGCAAAATTTACTTCTAAAAACATTAGCTCTCTTCCCCAGTATTTTCTCTAAACATGGTATTCATTTAACCGTATGTTATCATTCATGGGAATTATTTTTTTATGGGAATTATTTTTAAAAATTACTTTCTTAAATCTGTAATTACCACCCTCAACTTAATCTACCTTAAGTAAGTAAAGTCGCTCAGTCGTGTCCGACTCTTTGCGACCCCATGTACTGCAGCCCTACCAGGCTCCTCTGTCCATGGGATTTTCCAGGCAAGAATACTGGAGTGGGTTACCATCTACCTTAAAGGCAAGGACAAATCATAAGGCCTGTTCTAAATGCTTTAATGCAATGGGATTCAAGAAAGAGCATAAATGAGACAAGGATCTAGAAAAAGATGGCAACCTCTTTCAAGAAACTGATGCATACATGGCAGTACAAACTTAAAACCTCAATCAACCTGTTATAAAGAAAGGCAAAATGACAAGAGTGACAAATTGAGGGGGATGGTGTAATTCTTTCGAATCTATTAATAATTCTGGACTTGGCAACCTTTTCTGTCAAGAGCCAGACAGCAGGCCATGCTGTCTCTGTCAACTTTGCAATGACTGTACAAAGTAGCCATAATACCTATATGAATAGGTGTGGCTCTCTTCCACTACCACTTTCTTTATACATAAATGTGACCTCAGGATTTGGCTTGGGGACTGTGGTTTACTGAATCTTGATCTAATTCCTAAATCCTAGAGATATACTTTGCCCCCTTAGGGCATCCTCTCAAATGGAGGGATTTACCTGACTTAATTGCTACTTGTTCTTTTTCTAAATCTCAGCAACCAAAATACTGAATGAATACACAGATAAGGAGAACATCTAAGGAAGAGAAAAAACAAAACAAAAAAATCCACATGCCTGTTACAGCTGAAAAAATAAAAACTTCCAAGATTCCAACTCCTCCCTGATTAAGTGCCTTTCCACTATGACTAAGACTTTTTATCTTTGTTCAAACTTAATTTCCTTTCTATTGCTCATTGCTTTCATTTCTTTAAATTAGATATTCTAGTCAAACAAAATGTTTTTACCAGTTAAAATAAAATTAGTGTTAAGCAACAGCTAAACCTTTTGAAAGTTATTTCCTGACCAAAGACTATTCAGCTATTAAGGATGAAGTTCACTATTTCACTCTTCTATCAAACCAGTTCCAATCAAGGTCAGATTTCAACTATGAAGTTAGTAGGAAAATGGTTTATTTCTATTGTCATGCCATCTTTGGAAAACCCTCGTTCAATGATATAGAGGGAACTGGAAACACAAAATACCAAAAACTTCCCTTAACTGCTATCTCCCTTGTTTTCCAATCTTTATCCTTCAGGAACTAATTTATGTTTATGTATTTAAGACTAGCTTTGACCCTCTGGTATAATGAATAACTAGGGGGTAGTTTGCAACTCAC